TATCTCATTCTCTTCTATCTATCTATCTATCTATCTATCTATCTATCTATCTATCTATCTATCTCATTCTCTTCATATCACTAACCTATCAGCTATCCTCACCTCTACCAAATATCTAAACAATAGAAACCAAACAGGAAATTACAAATGTAACAAACCTCGTTGCTCAGTTTGTAAACATTTAATAATAGCTAATATATTTTCTGTACCCAACACCAATATCAGGATACAGCCACCTAACCTCACCTGCGATAGCCATAACGTAATCTATTATTTATTCTGCAACTTATGTCCTAATATTGGATATATTGGTGAGTCTGGAAATAATTTTAGATTTCGTTTCAATAACCATAAACAAACAATACGTCAAAACAACCCTTATTCCCCCATAGCTAAACACTACAATCAATCAGGACACACATTAGAAAACTGCAAATGTTTATTGATAGATTCCGATTTTACTTCTACATTCACACGCAGAAAAAAAGAAACATATTGGATTTTAAAATTAAATACACATAAACTAGGGTTGAATAGGGACTTAGGTGTTTTAAATCTTTATAAATATTTCAATAGTTAAGCAATTTTTTTTTAGATATAGTAAAAAAGTTTTTTTAAACAACATTTAAAATATTTATGACAGATTTAAGTTAGGAATATCCGAACAGTGACGTTCTATATCACGTGACGTCCGCGTCTCGCGAAGGACGCTACTTGCTAACAAACAGTAATTTTAATTTATTTGTAACAAACAGTTATTTCTGATGAAAAATTGAGGACAATTTGAAATATCAAATATATATATAAATAAATAAATACTTTCATAAAATAAAACATTATTATTTTTTAATTTGAAACTTTTTCTATATATATATATATATATATATATATATATATATATGATATATATAATTATTTATTTAAAAATTATAACATAAATATGTTAGAAAATCACTACAAAAATAGCCATTTTGTTTCAACACCTCCGGTGTCTTATCAAGTGATGATGTTGAATGTAAAAAAAATGGTTTTAAAAGTTTCAAATTAATTAACGATCCTTCGCAAGGGGAAAACGCTGTCACAAAAGCTAGAATGACCAAAGAAAACACAAGTATAGGAGAATTCAAAAAACTTGACAACGAATTAAGGTTATAATTGCTATTAAGAGCTTTAAAGTTGGGGTTATACTAAAATAGAATTTATTCTAACCAATAAGTATTAAATTATATGATAAAATTTGATATTAAAATTAAAAGTAAAAAATTACCAATTTTAAAACCTAAATTTAATCTCTATTAAGTTTAAAATTATAAAATTACTGAGGAGAAAAGAAAAAATACATGTTATTCAATTTATTTCTTCATAGAATATACGCTAATATCGACTGGTCTACCCGACAAAATGTATAATTTTAATTCCAAGTGTGTTAGTGGGGACCTAACCTCTCGCATAAAGCAATACAAACACACTCAGATTATAATACATAAGCACCCAGACATATTTAGTTATATATACACACAAAAAAGTGACGAGACAGGAAACATCTCCACGGCCCTTTATATATATATATTTTGGTGAAATAAATTATTGTAATGGTACCTTAAAGTGTCTGTTGGTCATTAAATTTTATATATATATATATATATATATATACACACACATTTATATATATATATATATATACACACACACATTATATATATATATATATATATATATATATACACACACACATTTATATATATATATATATATATATATATATATACACACACACATTTATATATATATATATATATATATATATATATATATAATAACAGGCAACTCATATTCGAGGATAGCTGTCTATTAGGGCGGCTAGCCAATCCCTATTGCAGACGCTGGCTCAGACACATTTGTGTTTGTTCAAAACTCACAGAGCCAATCTGTGGTTTATACTGCAACAATACTGAGCAGACATTAGAGAGTGTGTTATCTAGAATCTGAACGACGCCAGCATACACACACGCGCGCACACACGCACACACAGACATATATATATATTTACATATTTATATATACATATAGTATAAATATAAAAGAGAACATTGAAGTCAACACTCAGAGGCGACAGACTGTTTCATGCTGGACGCAATTGGCCTGACCTGAGGGTTGATTGCAATGTTCACTTTTATATTTACACACACTCTATCTCTGATATTGAGCACTTTATCCCATAAATATAGCACATCTTAAAACTACATTTCTTCATATATATATATATATATATATATATATATATATATATATATATATATGTGTGTGTGTGTGTGTGTAAAAAGTAAAATTGTAAAAATTGTAAAATTAACGAAAATGCGATTAGGAAAAACACCTAATATTTATAATATATAGATTTTTACAGAGGAATATTAAAATTAAAATTTATTTACTTACATGTCAGTTTTCATATATATATATATATATGTTTCATGTATATATATATACAAGTCCTCCATTCATACGAATATATATATATAAATATATATACATATATATATATATATATATATATATATATATATATATATATATATATACACATATATACACACACACATCTATATATATAAGCACATATATATACATACACACATGTATACATATATATATATACATATATACAGATATATACACATATATATAAAAGATATATACACATATATATATATACATATATATATATATATATATATAACATATATACATAATTATATATGCATATATATATATACACACATATATATAAATACAGATATATACATAATTTTATATGCACACACATGTATATTATATAAAATACCACGCGGTGGTAATAATACTGAATTCGATGTAAAATAACAAAGTTAAATCTCATACATATATTAAATATACATTTTCTTTCTGATGGTGAGGGACACTAATATATATATATATATATATATATATATATATATATATATATATATATATATATATATATATATAATTCAGATTGTGTTACATCAGAGGCGATGAATAATTTTTCGATTATCTTTTATTATTGTGAACACCCTAAAATAAAAAGACCAAAAATGAAAGATAGAAATTGTATGGTGTTCCACTAGCATGTAAATTGAATGAACCAGTCGTGTGCAATGTTTCTAAGAAAATAATTAATTATCAATTCTCTAAGCGTCCCTAATTTTTTTTATATCTCCAGGCCCGGGGGTATGTCAATACAGAAGGGGTGTCAGATGTACTCATCATCTTTGTTGGACAACAGATTTACGTAAGAGCCTTTTTTTCCTCACAGAAAAACTGCGAGGCTGTATGGACGTTTAAAGCCCCTTCATCCGTCTAACCTACAGGCTTTTAAGCAAATAAAAAAAAATATATATATAAAAAAGGGAAAAATTAAATGTAAAAATATAGTTCAATTGCAGAGAGGCTTTTTGCTTTTTATTTTAAGAGGATGAAATTGGCTTAAGTCCGACGTGTGTCCGTAATATTCTTTCTACTGTGGAGAAATGTGTTTTACGGTTTGTAAAGAAAACAGACGCGTGCAATTAATTTCACAAAAAAGTTTTATTTTGTCATATTTTTTTGCCATTTTAAATGTTTTTATTGTCCTTAAAGTCTCTAAATTCGTTTCATCTTCAAAGATGAGAAGAAAATGCGACCGTCCACCATATTTTAAATTCGATTTCGTCGCGCAAAACTAAAAACATTATTACCCAATTGCTAAATTTCTGAAGTAATCACGAACATTAGAAATAAATAAATAAATAAATAAATATTAATTTATTTGACATTCAAGATGTATAGCGTCAATCACTAAGGAAGGAAGCCAGGGTAGAAATGACATTTTTGGAGGGCGGGTCCCGAAATCAGTGGATTTTTGTGGTTTTTGTAACGACGAGAAGAAAGATTTTTAAGCTGTCTGTGCAGCAGCGTATTATAGCAGAATTAGCCTTCCATATTTTGACTTAGATTTTTTTTAAAAAAGGGTATTTCGTCTCAGGATTCGGACCAGTTTATATGTCTTTTCAAAAGTCGGAAAAATTTTAAAACAAATGATTGTCTTTTTTAATCTTTATTAATTGTTTTAGTTATTTGAATTGTTATAAAGTCACGTTATTAAATTATATTTTCTAAAATTTTCGTTAAAATGTCCGGATCCAGGAGTATCTTTCGACAACTCAGTTTATTTTAAATTTATAATATGGCCTTTTTGATACGTATCTTTTATCTTCTTAAATTCAGTTTCTATTCCTTGCAATTATTCATACTGTTAGCTTATAGATACCAAAAATAGCAACTGAAATTAAAATGAAATAAATACAAGTTATATTTAACAATAAGAAAAATAAATATCGCATTTAACAGGGATTTTAAAGATTAAATCTTTTTTTTCTTTTTTTTTTTGTAGACATTTTCATTGAATTTAATCGATTTAACATATTAACACAACCCTTCGTCAAGTGAAAAATCGACGAATAATAATCAGTAAGTGTGAGGGTTGTTAGTAGAGAGGTCGATTCTCACTAAATGCCAGATACCTGTGGCCATCTGTCAAACTAAACAAAATAACGACTGAATCTCGAATGAAAGGTGAATCATTTCAAGTATCAAGGCAAGGAAACCACAGGCACTCAATTTTCAAATGACAATAATATATTTTTAAATGTTTTTTAATAATTGACAAATTACTCTCTCTCTTTTCCATTTATATATATATATATATATATATATATATATATATATATATATATATATATATATTCTATTCATACGATTTTATGGATATATATTCTTTGAATAAATGCTCTGTTTTTTTTAATTAAACAGTATTAATTACATTTACCGTCCTGAATAAACAAAAAAATATATATATATACATATATATATATATATATATATATATATATATATATATATATATATATATATATATATATATATCCCTTCTTCGGAATTTAGATAGATATGAACAGATTTAG